GGGGGGGGGGGGGGGGGGGGGGGGGGGGGGGAGGGAGGCTGAATTTGAGGTCCTTAAGTCGTACATGGACGGGGAATGTACGCTTAAAATTGCAGCCTTCTAGCTTTTTTAGTTCTCGAGTTAGCAATTCCCAACAAAGCTTTCACGTGCCTGTACGTGAGAATCACATGCAGCAAGGGACTGAATTTGAAAACTTTAGCTCGTCCACGTACAGTGAATATCCCTGCAAAGCTTCTACTGTCCGGTTTTTCTGGTTCCCAAGATTGCTTTCCCGCCAAAAAATTTTCGTAATTAAAGCGTCCGTATGCAGCACCCAGGCTTACGCAGGTGATGACATTAAAACGGGACGGTCGCGCATAGTATGGGCACATACTTCCAAAGTTTCAGCCTTCTAGCTTTTCTGGTTCTCGAGTTGAAAGTGGATAACAAAAAGTGCGAACACACAGAGACATACAGACAGCCTCTTCTCAACATGCGTTTTTGCAATTTGCATATATGCAAAAACGCATAAAAATAGAGCATCACGCATGGTTTGAGAACGTACTCCAAAAATTTCAGTTTCCAAGTTTCACTGGTTGCAGAGTTTAAAATAGATGATAGAGGTGCGAGCACATACACACACACAACACAAACACATGTGCACACATGCATACACCGAGTAGCTCTCATCAATATGGTTTTTTGCATTTGCACAAATGCGCAAAAACATAAAAGTCGGCAAGTAATTACGGTCTTAGTGAGATCATTATGCAAAATGCGTTTTGTGCTGGACCCAGTAGTAAAAGACTTCGATGAGTTAATTTCGAAGCACACATTTACATCGAATTCCGATAACTTGCAGAGCAAATCAGTGGCGTTGCCGAGGACGATGTGACAGCGTACAGTTTTTGGTTGACCATCGCATATATGTTGTTGGTTATGGCCTTTACGGCAGCAGCGAAACGCCTTCACAGTTTAAAGTATTCCCGATTTTAAAGCAGAATTGTGCAACTTTAAAATTTTTTAATTCTTTACTTTCGGCTCCACTGAATCGCATTGAAATTTTTTTCCTCGGCTTTTCCAACTGTCAAAAGGGCATTTACGATTCAGGTAAAGATGGATCTCAAAAGGGGCGAGGAAGTCATTGAAAGCAAGAAGACGATATTATGCTCGACAGGCTTTTCAGACCCAATTTTGATCTGCTTTGATCATCCAGTTCAGGTTAGTCCCTTTTCTGTATCATTATCAATAATGATAGAAAAAGTTTTAGGATGGGGACTAATCTTTAATGTATTAATTTTCACAGTCTGTTGTTGCCCCGATAATTGTCATTAGTTTTTAGATAGAGCCGGAGGTCAAACACACAGCATCTGTTACGATGGAAGGAAAAGGCTTGAGTTTTTTTGGCCAGGAAGTAAGTTTTTATGCGTTTTTTGCAGCTGTGCAATGCAAAAACGCATATTGTCGAGGGATTGTCTGTGTGTGTGTGTGTGTGTGTGTGAGTCTGTGTGTATGTATGTGTGTGTGTGTGTCTGTTTGTTCGTCTGTAACGAATTTTCATTTCGAGATCCATAAAAGCTACAAGGCTGAAAATTTGGTAACTTAATCTACACATATTTGCGGGCTTGTATACTCAAAATGGACGCTTAGTTCCGAATGGTTCTCATGTAGGGACACGTGAAAGTTTTTTTTGCGAAAAGGCGTTTTCGGGAACGGCCCATGCTAGGAGGCTGGAACTTCATGGAGTTGTTCCTTGGCCGCGTCTAGTCCAAAGATTTCAAATTTAGCCTTCACGCACACTTCGAATTTTGCACTGGCATCATGCCAACTCCAGATTTAAGCTGATCAGTAAGTGGCACAGAGCTGCAATTCTGCAGCGTTACTTGTCGCCCACTGTTGTGTCCGTGAAAGTGAATTACTTGTCAGCTCTTCTGCACCTCACGTACAAGCGTGTGAAAATTTCAGGCATGCGCTTTTGTAACTTTAGAATTGAACCAGCCAGAGGACCTGAACTTCCTGAACATGACTGATGGTGGCCTTTGGCCAGATGCAGGCAAAAACGACTTACACATCACTTTCACGTCTCACGAGAAAGTTGAAACTTTGGGGAATGTTCCCTACTCACGCACGATCAAAAATTTTCAAAGTCAGCTTGTTTGGACCGCCCGGGACCCACGTAAGGACACGTGGAAATTTTGGCGCGGAAATTACTAGTCCGGGAACGAAAAAAGCTGGAAAGCTGGGACTTTAAGGGGATGTTCCCTACTCATGTATGAGCAAAACCGGGTATTTGAAAGTGCCCGGGGCCCAAATACGAGTGCGTGGAAATTTTGGCGCGAAAATCACTAACCCGAGGACGTGCAGAGCTAGAAAGCTGAAACTTTCGGGGAATATTCCCTACCCACGTACGAGCAAAGTCAGGTGTTTAGAAGCGCCCGAGCCCACATACGAGCGCGTGGAAACTTTGGCGCGGAAATTACTAACCCGGGAACGGGAAAAGCTAGAAAGCTGAAGTTTTACGGGAATGTTCCCTACTCATGTACGAGCAAAATAAGGTGTTTAGAAGCGCCCGCGCCCACGTACGAGCGCGTGGAAATTTTGGCGCGAGAATTTGTAACCCGGGGACGGGAAAAGCTAGAAAGCTGAAACTTTCGGGGAATGTTTCCTGCTCATGTACGACCGAAGTCAGGTGTTTAGAAGCGCCCGCTTACGGGCGCGTGGAATTTTTGCGCGAAAATCACTAACCCGGGAGCGGAAAAAGGTAGAATGCTGAAAATTTAGGGTAATGTTTCCTACTCATTATAACCAAAAGATTTCAAATTCAGCTTCTGTAAACCGTCCGATACTCGCGTACGGATACGTAAAATTTTTGATGGAAAAGCTGCTAACTGAGGAACGGGAAAAGCTGAAGGCTTTAATTTTAAGGGAATGTTCCCTATTCATGTGCGGCTAAAAGACTTCAAATTTAACTCTTCTAGTGCGGCTTTTTTGTGGGCCAGCAACTTTTCATTTGTCGGATCACTGAAGTCGACATCTACAACTGACATACCACATAGTTGCACAATTAACTTCCCGAACTTCTAGGGCCAGTATGTCACATGATTAGCTACTGTAATTTCTTGCGATCTTGCTACGGCACGAAAAGTGCAAAAACGCATAATCACACCGGCCCGCCTGGTGCGTTCCAGCCTG